CTTTATTCAACGGCTTAATTTAGAACAGGACTAACTGTACTACAGATTCAACTATCACTAGAGTACAGCTCTCATCCAGTTATGATGCAGAATAATATTAGAATAACAGACTAGAAAAGTCCTCATGCCACTTTCTGGTTGCAGTCCCTGGGATAAGGTTATTTAACAGTTTTCAACTTCAGCTTTTCCATCTTTGTAAAATGGTGAATTTATCTGTAAAATGCTGAATTCTAAATTTCTAACATAAATTCTAGGAGCATTTTTATAGAACATTCCCTGAAACTTTTGACTATACTGTATTCAGAAACAGAGAGTAAATTATTTTAGAAATACAAACTGGTTTTAAAAATCAATTAACATAACAATGCAATTAAGTCAGAAATCACTAACAAAAAAATAAAATCCCCAACCATCCCCAAGGGAAAAAAATTCTATCAAGAGAGGGAAAAAAGAAACCAGCACAGAAATTAATGAAAGCAGCGAACATGAAGTCATATTTAATACAGCTAAAGCAAGGTCTACAAGGAAATCAATAGCTTTAAATGATTCTAACAGGAAAGAATAGACTTAAAAATGAATAAGCCCAGTTTCCAACTTAAGAAATTTCATAACAGAATAAGCTCAAAAAAGAGGAAAAGATAATAAAGAGAAAAATGTAATGAAATGGGAAAGTATGATACAAGAAAATATCAAGAAACTCAGAAGTTGGTACAATAAAAGGGGAGTGAAGCAGACAAACCTCTGGCAAGACTAATCAAGACAGAGAGAAAAGGCACAAATGAACAATATTAACAGTGAGAAAATGGAGACACAACTACAGGTCCAGCAGCAATGAGAGAGAGTAAGAGAATACCATGAATGACGTTTTGCCAATAAATGTGAATGGTTAATAAAATGGATAAATTATAAGAAGAATATCTGATTGAAAAGAAAAAAGAAAACTCGAATAATCTCATATTATTAAATACATTGACTTGGTCAATTAATCTATGACAAAGGAGTCAAGAATATACACTGGAGAAAAGACAGTCTCTTCAATAAGTGGTGCTGAGAAAACCGGACAGCTACATGTAAAAGAGTGAAATTAGAACATTCTCTAATACCATATACAAAAATAAACCCGGAATGGATTAAAGACCTAAATGTAAGACTGGATACTACAAAACTCCTAGAGGAAAACACAGGCAAAACACTTTTTTTCATAAATCACAGCGGTATTTTTTTTGGATCCATCTCCTAAAGTAAAGGAAATAAAAGTAAAAATAAGCAAATGGGACCTAATTAAACTTAACAGCTTTTGCATAGCAAAGGAAACCATCAACAAAATGAAAAGACAACCAACTGAATGGGAGAAAATATTTGCAAATGATGTGACCTATAAGGGATTAATATCCAGCATACATAAACAGCTCATACAACTCAACATCAAAAAAAAAAAACCTGATTAAAAACTGGGGCAGAAGAACTGAATAGACATTTTCCCAAAGAGGAAATGCAGATGGCCAACAGGCACGTGAAAACATCACTAATTATCAGGGAAATGCAAATCAAAACCACAATGAGGTATCACTTCACACCCATCAGGATGGCTATCATCAAAAAGAACACAAATAACAAATATTGGTGAAGATGTGGAAAAAGGGGAACCCTTGTACACTGTTGTGGGAATGTAAAATGGTGCAGCCACTGTGGAAAACAATACAGAGGTTTCTCAAAAAGCTGAAAATAGAACTACCATATGACCCAGCAATTCCACTCCTGGGTATATATCCAAAAAACCAAAAACACTAATTTGAAAAGATACATGTACCCCAATGTTCATAGCATCATTATTTACAATTACCAAGGTATGTGTCCATCAACAGATGAATGGATAAAGAAGATGTGGAATACATACACACAGAATGGAATACCACTAAGCCATAAAAAATAATGAAATTTTTCCAACTGCAAATAATATAATTTTATTTTTAAAGCTCAAACTCAGACAAAACCAAAAAGGATATTGTTTGAGAATACACAATTATTTTTAAGAAGCACTAAAATGATGATGCAAACTTAAGAACACTTAAATATCTCTACCAAGCAGATAGTGGGATGAAATGGAGACTAGCATGTAGGTTGATACAACAGTACATATTAGCAATGTGCCAGTTCTTAAATTGGGTTTTGGAATCAAAGATTACCATGTTATTCTTATGATTTATAATAATGCATATTACATATACTAAGTATTATGTATTAAGTGTACGTGATAATATATAATATTACACATTATATATGTAATAATATGATATATGTGATAATATATATTACATATTACATATGTAATAATATATTATTTATATATTATTTTATGTGTCAAATATTGTGTGATAAAAATTTAAAACAAAGTATTAAAATTAAAGTTTATTCATGAGACAGCATATAAAAGCTTTCCTAACTGATCTATTTATTTCTTCCTAGTTTATTTCATACATATTCATCACTACATCTGTGACATTCACTATTTATTTTATTTAAATCTCGTGCAATAATTTTAGAAATAGTGTCAAGCACAGTGGATGTTTAGACCAAGTAAATAGTGCTGTAAGGAAGAAAATAAGGACATTATAGAGAACTGTGTGAATGTTGCATGCTATATTTATCCCCAAATTGGTTAAAATCAAAGTAAATCACATTCTAGTCATCTGACTTTCATTCATAAGCGGAGAGAAAGAATAAAAAAAAATATTACCATAATTTAGTGCACTTCATTATCCTATTGGTGTAAAATGAGCCAAGTCAGTTTCTTTGCCACCGTATTATACTAAACAGATGAATCCTTCCTTAAAATGTTAGAAAACAGGAAAGATATCTTTTTTAATCTACCAATAAGCAAGGTTTGTTTTCCTTAAGAGCCTACCGGTATGCTAAATGCTTCTGGAGATAAATTAGTTACTTGTCCTAATGGTTAAAAAAAGAAGCAGGGGGGGGCGGCGGGGGAAAGAACCTTGAATAGGTTAAGGACCACAGCATCTTCAATGGAGATGAAGCCTTAGAAACACGAGCAATGTAGAAAAAAAGGCAGATGTAGAAAAAGTTAAAATGTCAGGGGAAATAACCAAAAGCATGTTGGAAAAAATAGTGAAAAAGTGGTCTATTCTATATGACTTATCTTAATCAATAAAAATAAATAACTCTAAATTTTTAAAGTATATTCTTCGAAAGAATAAATGAATTTCCTTTCACCAAACAGACAGCTTAGCAAGCAAAGACCTGAGAAATCTCAAGACGTTTATTACTCAAAAATTTTATCTCATGTTGTTAAAGACAAACTGATGTTACTCCTCAATTATATTTTGGAGGAAAACTATTTTATTTTTCATTTGCCCAGAATGCGTATGTAAAACTGAAAGCTGAGTAGAAATTCTAGGCAGTGAATTGCACAGAACAATGCTCACTTGGTATTCATCCTAGGTCTTAAATAAGTGTAGCCTGCCAAATGCAGCCCACTGGACTATTTTCAACTTCATTATCCAATTTCTTTTTCTAGAACCTCTGTTTCATTTCCCCCTTCCTATCAGACATTTAGTTCATGGTTTTTAAAGCTCTTTGCCACAGGGGTAGGAAAGAGGGAAAAGGAAGACAAGAACAGATTTATTTCCCTAACTGAAGCAGCTCTAAACCATCAGTAGATGCGGAAAAGACTGACCATGACAAAGAACTTTAAATTGTTAGGTTCTTATAGCCTGAGTGTCTCAAATGCTTCATGATTTCAGCAACGTGGGAAGGGATATTCAGTCAACCTTTCAAAGGAACGGTGTGGCTGTGGTGACTTCTCTGCTCTTCTTAGACTTGTGTTTCTGCAAGAGTGTCATTAAAGGGTCATATTTGATATGGGCCTCCCAGAGATCCCATGGTGGGTGAGGGGAGAGAAAAAAGAAGGAAGACACTTTAAGGTGTCCGCGCGTCACTACTCAGACAAACCCCAAACAACCCTGGAGACTTCACAGGCTGGTCCAAGGGATAGAGAAGCTGGACAACCGGAAATTATTTCCACTAATGATACCTAGTTAGGAAGCTAACTAGATTTAAAAAAATGACTTTCCATTGGAATCCTACGTAGCTAAATTACTCTGCCAAAATATCCCACTGTAATTAGAAGATACAACAAGGATAAAGCAATAAAAAATCATGAAATCTAAATGCCATAAAGAGAACCATAGATCCTTCTATTCAATTCTACGCATTAACAGAGAGTGTTGGAACTCTACCCACCTTCCTTTCTTCCTCCCCTCCCACAGGCTGTTGTACATCGAAAGCATTTTTTCATATTACCTGGGAAAATAATCAGTATGCTTTCTGTGATGAAAACTGATTTTTGCTTTTAAGCTTTTTATTCTTTACACAAAATTTACCCATTATAACTAGTGAAAGAACAAAATCCAGATAAATAAAAGTTAATCACCTTCCTCTGCCCCTTCTCTCACCATTGCAACAAATCACCACAGTCAACTGAAATAATTAACATTTTTTAAAAGCTGCATAACATCCCAAAATATGAAGGTACTACAATTGATGCAATTATTCCCGGCAATGACTAACATTTGGGTTATTTTAGGTGTATTAGGTTTTTGTCATTTCACAAAGAATACTGCACCACGTGAACACACATATGCACACACATATGGGAACACAGTACCATCAGTACTCATTATACTGGTGACTTGATTGCTATGGGACAGTCTCCCAAACAGGACTTTCAGAAAAGCTGCAACCATCTTTCATATTCCCACCAGCAAAATAGTAACATGTGGGAAACAGTTACAGAATATGCTATGCAGTTAAAACATTTCACAAAGCAAAGTCCATAGACTTTTAGGTATCAATCAGTTTAAGGTGATTTTTAACTTTGGGATATGTTTACACTGATTCATTTAGAGAGGCTGCAATAATAAGATATTTACACAGGAATCTCTGCAAGAATAAAGCCTATACTGGGGTTGATTTTAATTTACCTTTTTTTGACACTTCTGCCCCATTGAGTTCTTTTTGTGCTTCTTCAATTTTGTCTAAGAAAAACAGCAACAAAAAATTATAAGTCAATTCATCATACACAAATAAGAATACAGTAAAACAAATATTATTACTTGTAAACAGTACCTGACGCATAGTAATAAATATTTGTTGAATGAATTATTTATGAAACAAGTATGTGTAAACTGTTAAAGTAATAATAAAGTCCTTTTAAAAATTATACTTATAATTTTATGTCTTAGTCACAAGGACTACTTCCAATTGTTTCCACAATGCAAGTAATTAGTGCATTTTAAATACTAAACCATAGTTTAAAAATGTTTAGCTGAGTAATAAAAGTATGTAAACATAATACTTTCTTTATGAAGACACACAGATTTTATCAGAGAGATACAGCATATGCCTACTGGCTTAGAAACAAGTCTAAGCAAAGTTCATAGATAGCCTCAGACCTAAGCCAAACATGGAAGAGATAAAAGAAAGGATGGAAAAATAAAGGAAATGATGGGCTGAAGAGCAGCAACACAATACCCATCACTTTTGCCAACCCTTGATTACAGAATAGTTATCCATGAAGTGTGAGGGTGGAATACTGCATTAAAGAGATACCAGATAAAACTAATGACTACAGAAGTGCTATATATGCACACAGTTTTGAAAGAAGCAATAACTAACGAAGAGCTGGGATGGCTGCCTCAGGAGTGGTTGGGAGAGGGAGGCACATGGGCCCAGAGCCTGTAGGTCTCCCACGTGAGCTTTGAGCACAATTAGATTTTGTAAATAAGCACATGTTCTACTTTGGTAACAATTAATTTAAATTTTATAAGGAGATATATATTTGATGATTTATGACAGCAACCAATTCCAAATTTAATACAGTGGTCTAAGTGCTAATTATAATGGTAAAAGTAACAAAATTCCTAGGGTACTATTTTGTACTGAAATGAATACAGTAACCATAATTATGCAACATTTTAGATAGTCCCTTGGCGTACAGTTTAAATGCTTTCAAAATATTGGTATGTCAGCCATTCATGCCTCCCAGCATCCAGCAGCAGCTCCCCAAATGCCCTCTACTGGCCATGGAAGATGCAGCCTCCAAAATGGCATCCTTCCCCAACTAAATAGGGCACAGATCCCACCATATGCCCTTCAAGCTCTGGTTCTATCTGCCTTTTCCCCATCAGCCTTTCCAGAAAAGCCAGAAATCCACAGAACCTTCGATTTACTGATCAAACTTCTTTCAATTGCATGTTGATACATCCATCCTGCCATATCAGGGTGGGGTGGGGGGAGCATCAGAATAAAGGAAACAAGCAATGGTTAATCGTAACTAAATCTTCATCCTGACAAATGCACTCCCCACAGCAATGTCCTATTTGCTTCCTGCTAATTACCAGATCCAGGATAAGATTTGAGGGGAGAAGAGACTATCTTTGGAAATAATACAATTTTTTCTCATTCACAAACTTTAGTTATTTCTCCTGAAATGATGAGTGAAATTGGAAACAGTACTGAAAAAAAAACACAAACCCTTATTAAATGCAGAAAGTAGATCCTGCGCTTAGCAGTACTTTTACTTCAAAAGGAGAATTCCAAACGTATGGGTGAAATCTGGATTAATGCAAGTAACAAAAAGACAAGGCCCACTTTTTCAAAAAATAAAATGTACTAAGTACATTGGAGACATTCAAAATGTAAATAAATATTAAATATACAGTCTTTGAGAAACATAAAAATGAAAAGCGCTATTATTTCTCTGCCAGCAGTTTGTCCAAACTTGAGAACCATAAATAATATATACATATATATTATGTATATTCATAGTAGTAGTGACTGTGTTTAAGAGTTTCTGCACACATAATTTGGCATTATACAATAAAACGACTTTTTATTAATAGAACCAACTGGGGCTCAAGGCAGCAAAAACTCATGACTTGACATAATATTTAAAGAATAGCTTCTATTTACTATACTGAGGTTTGGCCACCTTCTATTTGTACTTTAACATAACAAATTCTTGCAAAAATGACCTCAATTTACATTTGTGTATAAATCAGTAGATTTAGGATATCTAGTGTGTGAGGTATAGGCATCTACTTAAATGCCTTTACCTGGAGCTCCAGTTCAATAGGTAAATACAATCTTCAATGAGAGAGCTTATAATAGCCATTATAAGATTTTGCCTCAATTTTTAGAGAAAGTCCTGTTTATAGTTAACCTATGTTTTATAATTCTCCTGATAAAAGATGATGTTTTAAAGACACTCTCCAAAACTACAGAGAAAGTACTCATTTATTATATGCTCTTAATTGGTTCAGACAAGGCAATTCACTAGTATTTAAAAGCAACATTTATCATTTTTTTCACTATGACCCAGAGTAAGAAAGATATTTTTACATTCCAACCAGTTACACATGTGTATTTTTATTATGTATATACATAATTCAGAAACCAACTTACCCACACTCTAATTTCTATCCTTTCCTAGTAAAAATGGAAAATGCTGCCTTGCTCAAATACACTGATTTCACAACCCACTGCTGGAGCAAACCTGCAGCTTGAAACTCACTGATAGAAAGAGCAGTCCTCAACCAAGGGCAACACTTCCCAGCCAGGACATATCTCATTGTAAGCCCTGATTGGCAGGGGGGTGCGTGTGGTTTATAATGGGATCTCAGATTCTGAGACATCTTCCATCATGCCCTCCCCAGTGTCACTGTTATCTGAGGTAATAATTTCACAAAGACTACACATTCAGAAATAAACAGTAGTTTCTCTGTTGCTTAAAAATAAAAAGATATATATGCAAAATTGACATTCACACCAGTGGTAAATCTAAAATAAGTAACATATTCTTACTGCAATGAGTTCTTACCGTATTTAAATTAAGATGTAATTCTAATTAATTCAGTTTTTACTAAATACACTTGGAGTTGTTACCTGGAAAAGATCCCAGCAACACATGAATGGATCCATAATTGTCCCTAAGATCCAGAAGGGCCCATGGCTGAAAGAGTGGCAGGCTGAGAGGAAGGGTACTGACAGTGTAGGTTAGATTTTGGTTCTGCAACTATTAAAAATGTACACCTTCTTAACAGTTTTTCTTCTCTGGTAAAGCACAGAAACTATTTGCTAACGGTAAAGGCTATGAACAATCTTGTTTAATGCCTTACATATTTTAAAACTTTTGTTTGTACAAGAAAACAATGCAAAACATTTTGTTTTCATCATAGGTAAATAACTGTAAATAAAGAAAAAAATGTTGATTTGTGGAGCATAATCTGAAACCACTGAGCCAAAAAAAAAAAAAAAAGTCCTGGAGCCCTTAGGAAACCACCGTTCTTTTGGGGTTCTGGGAAGAAGACTAGATAATTAAAAACAAATCATTTGGAAAAATAAAGCAATCTTCAAATGAGAGCTCACAGCAAGTGTCTGTCTCTGACCCTTTTCACCCTGTGGTGAAGTGGGGGCGATGGGCCTCCTGTACCACCTCAGATCCTCGACACCACTCCTCAAGAGCCCTGCGACTCAGTACATACATCATAGCTTTGGGGACCGACTCATTAAATTGTTAGGATTTGGTTCAACAACTGCTGAGGGTTTTATATTGCACTGAATGTCTGCCTGGTGTCAGGTACAAAAGGAAGAACCAGAAATATAAAGCTAAAAGAATGGCTCCCCTGGAGGACCTTACGGATTATTCTACCTCTTAAACAAGCATTTTAACATCAATTTGACAGTAAATATAAAGCCTGATTCCCTGTGCAGCGACCACAGTTGTCTGTCATCCCACTCCCTCCTCTGCAGCTCCAGCCACACCCCTGGCGCAGGCTCCCTCAGGTCCCTGAGACTCTTCCAGCTAGCTGCCCTCCCACCCCATCCCTTCAGGATGTCACCTCCTCTAGGAAACTTGCTCTGACACCCTCCTCAGAGCCATTGCTTCCTTCTCTGTGCCACCACCCCTGCGTGTAGGATCCGTCTTTCCACAGCTATGTATCTGGTGATCATTAGTAACAACGACAGTAAGGCGGACTGAGTGATTTACTGGCCTAAAAAATGCTGACGATAACCTGGCCAAGTGACACACAGAAGCAAGGGTACATTCTGGAAAAGGGAAAAAGGCGTATCTGCACACAAACTGAAACTGGCATTAGGTGGTTTCACGTAAGAGCCTGGCGTTTTATCTTCCTTAATGTTATAAATGATTCCTACATTTGGGAAATTGCATCAGTGCACTGAAAGCACCTGAATCAACTATTTATCACTCCATTAGATTATCAAGGAGTTAAATGATCTCTCCCCTAATTCTAGTAGCTCATGCTTCTCTCCTGCTGTTCTGACAGGCACCCATAACTTCTGCTCTGACACCTAGAGGCTCTCCTTCTTCACTGAGCCCTGAAAACATAAAGTGGAAACACTAACAGTAAATTTTATGAAGTAGATCCTAAGGAACTGTAAAAGGCTGAAGAGATACCATCTGATTGAAAAAAGATCACCATATGTGACTGCACTATTTTTACTACTGAATAAACCTAACTCCCATGTCCCTCATCACACGTCAGTACGAGCCCCCTGTTCTCACTGGTAACTGCTAGAGCTATTTCAATAAGACTAAATATATGACAATGACGTAATGTTAAAAATGCATCCAATACCCATAACCACGTATGCATGGTCGTCTAAATGATGATCCCAATGTTCACTACTAAATCAGCTAAGGAAACCCACCTTTATTAGTAACACGTTTTAACCTGTAAGTTACACATCTTTCCTATCTCTAGACCTATGTCTTTCAGGGAGGCAGACTCTACAATAATGCCGAAAATGATAGTCTAGACTAGTAATATTTCAAACAGAAAAATATTGCTTGAAATAAGTAAAAAAAAAAAAAAAAAGAGAGAGAGACTCAACTCGGCACTCATGAATTTGAAAACTGTGATTTACTAGTAAAGATTCTAGAAAAAAATAAAATTACTCAACTTGATCCAGAAAGAGAAAAACTCAACTAGAATAACGAGGGATGATTGAGAAA